GGTTGTTTAATTTTCATCAGTGACTTCGCGAGATTGAGTACACCCTCAGCAAGCTTGCAGATGACACCAAGCTGAGTGGTGGAGTTGACACACCAGAAGGACGGGATGCCATCCAGAGGGACCTGGACAAGCTTGAGAAATGGGCCTGTGTGGACCTCATGAGGTGCAACAAGGACAAATGCAAGTTCCTACACCTGAGTCGGGGCAACCCCTGCTATCAATACAGGCTGGGGGATAAAGGGATTGAGAGCAGCCCTGCTGAGAAGGACTTGGGGGTATGGGTGGATGAAAAGCTGGACATGAGCCACCAATGTGCGCTTGCAGCCCAGAAGGCCAACTGTACCCTGGGATGCATTCCCAGCAGCGTGGGCAGCAGGGCGAGGGAGGGGATTCTGCCCCTCTGCTCCACTCTGGTGAGACCCCCCCGGGAGTCCTGTGTCCAGCTCTGGAGCCCCCAGCACAGGACAGACATGGAGCTGTTGGAGCAGGGCCAGAGGAGGCCACAAAAACGATCCGAGGGGCTGGAACCCCTCTCCTAGGAGGAAACACTGAGAGAGTTGGGGCTGTTCAGCCTGGAGAAGGGAAGGCTGCGGGGAGACCTTACAGCAGCCTGCCAGTACCTGAAGGGGCCTATGGGAAAGATGGGGGAAATACTGTCAGCAGGGCTTGCCGCGATAGGACGAGGAGTAATGGCTTTAAACTAAGGGAGGGTAGATTTATACTAGATAAAAGGAAGAAATTTTTTACGATAAGGGTGGTGAAACACTGGAACAGATTGCCTAGAGAAGCAGTGGAGACCCCATCCCTGGAAACATTCAAGGCCAGGTTGGACAGGGCTCTGAGCAACCTGGTCTAGTTGAAGATACCCCTGCTCACTGCAGGGTTCTGGGCTAGATGATCTCTAAAGGTCTCTTGCAACCCAAAGCATTCATGATTCTGTGAACACGGACTGAGTGTTTTCAAGAACAAAGCCAAAGAGCAGGGGAAAGAGAAGCAGAAGGAAGAGGTTTTTTGCATATAACTGCAGAACATGGTTTTAAAATAGGCAGGGACAGAGTGAGGGAAAGCTGTTTTATAAAGCAAAAATTTGAAGTTCAGCTGAGTCCATGTGCAGTTTTGCCCTTCTCAGCTGTTTTCTAATCCCTTCTATCACAGCACCCAGCTTGGACTCCCTTTGCACTTCATTTCTGCCTTTGCCTCCTTGCTTCCTCTCACTCCGGCTAGGAAGAGAGATCCGGTAAGGAGCAGCAGGTAGACACTGTGCACAGAGAAAGGGAACACCTGCCCAAAACCAGACTAGAATTGGCTAGGTAAGGAGACAGAGCAGAAGAGGAAGAAGCAGCATGTGGACTGCATGTGAGTGGTAACAAGAACTGATTGGTAACAACAGGCTTGGGTCAGGGGGCACCTAGACTAAAAACAAGGAAAGACGCAGTTGGAGAAACAGGGCAGCAGCAGCAGCCTGTCTTGAACAGAGTTGTCCAGAGCACACTGCTTTATAGAACCTGGACACAAACTCAAAATTCCCAAGTCTCACCATTCCTCTGCTACTAACAACCACCCATAAACACCCTGCCAAATTGTATTTGGCTGTCCTCCAACTGGTGTCGGTCCACACCAGAAAATGGCAATCCCTATCGCCCCCGAGTACTCCAGCCGCCAAGCGAGAGAGGTCCGAGTAGAGGATCCAGCAGCTCCAAGCCTGCTGCATCATCGCGGCAGGTATCATCAAGAAGGCTTGTGACAGAATTCCTGTTCTCAGTTAGCTTTCAAGAAGAATCACACACCTGTAAACAGATTAGGAAGTGGCAAGCCACCACACTGAAATGAATATTGTCGAGAATGAAAAGCAAAGGACTTGAGTTAGAAAACACCAAAGTTACAGCTGCTGGTGCATGTGGCTCACAGTATAGACTCTAACTTATGATAGAACCACTCAAACTGGACTAAGGCCAAATTTACATTCCACTCCTACCACACTGGCCTAAAGCTCATCTGGGCACAGGCTCACCTATCCACTCCTGCAGCACCTCAAACCCTTTGCATCTCCAAGCAAAACAACCCTCCTCCTTCACCACAGACTTCTCACACTGTGCCTCACAAATTTTTGCTACAAGGCGAGAGAAAAGAGAGTTTCTCAGCTGATTAAGTTGAACACAGCTCTCCCCCGACACAGATTTTTTTTTTTTTTTAATTATTTTTTTTTATCCTGGCGCCTGACAAGTTCCCACATGATGTTAAAACAAGCCACTTGAATCAAATTTCTCAGGAGAGCTCAACAAGTCCATACTCTGGAGGCCAGGCTGAGATCTTGGTGGCTCAATCTACAGAAAGAGAGCACTTCTGGAACAGAAATCAAAGGAGCTATGCTTGCATATATCACAACATCTGGTCCAGCATGTTAAAAAAAAAAAACAAAACAAAACCACAAAAAGAGTCGGTCCCAGTCTCAAACTGCATGTCCAAAACCTACCTGACAGGTCTCACAGAACAAACAATGAACCAACAACAGCAAATCAAGCATGCAATCATATAAACAGCCATAAAAGCATGGCTTAAAGCAAAGTGGTCACATCCAAATCACAGGAAACTTGAATTTTGGCATTTCTTAACTTCCATTTAACAAACACCGCCTGTAGAATTCCTTACAGCCTAAGTGCTTTTTTAAAGTTCATTTGTTTCCCCGTGACCTGCTGTTCAAGTCAGTATGGATCACCGCCACACAGAACACCACAGAGGAATCTCTACTGAGATGGACTAAATGAAACAGGGACACAGAAGGAACCGAAGTCAAAGTGCACGCAACTTCCAACAAGTCATTTCAACTTATCCATCTGCAAACGGAGGTAGAACGATGGGAAAATCGGTGTTCACAAAGCACTCTGAAGTTGCCAGGTGCTACTGCCAACTGCTGTCATTTAGACATTTCCAGTTCTAACATGTTACCTGGTTATTTCAGAACCTCAAAAAAGGCCAAATACAATGCAGTTCTGCTCGTAAGCGGAGTTTACCGACTGCTGCTTCACAGATGGCTCTTTTTCCCCCTTTTGGGCTTTTCAAGCCAAATTCCACAGAACAAAAGATGAAGGGAAATCTGAATTTAAGGTGGCAGTTCTCCCAACTTTCACCTATAGAAAGCAGCACTACAGCATTCCTGGCTGATGTGGAAAAGATTATAGGATGAAACTATGCCTTTCCCTCTTCACATGTATTTAGGAAAGACTCTGAATGCAGTTAACCAAACAATTAGCGCTGCACATCTAGAAGAAGTGGTCAAAACTGCCATCAGATTGGTAAGTGAGAAGCACAAATCAAATCAGCAATACAGTTAACAAGTAAGTTTAGCCAACTTACCATCATATAAGGATCATCCACAATAGGATAAATATAATCTGTCGTCTGGACCAACGACAAACCTCCATGTCTTAATGGAATAACACAAGTGTCCATCCCAATTCCTGCAAAAACAGAAATCCATCAGTGAGGTGACTAACTTTGCCCTTAATTATCTGTTGCTTTTAACAAGAGAACTTATAGAACACGTCTGTGAAACACAACTCAATACTGCCTAAACAGACATGGCAAATTCCTTCCTTAGAGAAAACATGTAGCACAAATATGAGGAAAAGCAAGCAAAGAATGAAAACGTCTGACTGGAACAGAATAGAAGTGTAAACGGCTGAAAGCAAGAACTAAACTACAATGTTCCTATGGGTTTTTTTGCAGCATAATAATAGTACATTAAGAACATCCGTGCTTGTATGTATGTACATTTACAGTTAAGAGGAACTACGTAAATTTGGTATTGTCAAAAGCAAATAGGTTTTCCCGTCACTCTGAACTCAACAAAAACACGGTGACAGTTTTAAAAGGACATCGCCTCTCATAAAGGGCATTTCCTCACTTCAGGAGGAACAAACAGAACGCCACAAGTCACAGCCAAGGCCTGTGGTGAAAAATGATTCACTTGCTTGGAGCTTCTGCAACTATGTCAACCTCAGCTTACTTCTGTAAGGCTGAAAGGCGGCAAGATAACCTGCTAGACAGGGAAACTCCTTTGAGAAAACCACAACACCAAGAGCAGCCTTTTCCATGATGGTGGATATTTCAAACAGAATAAGCGATCTTAAAACCTCCAGGCATTCGCTGCGAGGCCAGAGCCTGCACTAAAGCGGCAGGTGACAAATCACAACATGCTAGCTGAGCAGCCCTCCCTGCCAATGTCCTCCTGCCTTTGCTGTCGCACGAAAAGGGTTCGTTCGCCCAAGGTGGGGTCAGCCAGCCTCACATGCAGAGCCCAGATAGTTCTTTACTTCATGTCTGTGCAGAGATGGGTGCTAGGTGGTAATTCCATCAAGCCAGCACACGGCAAACATTTATACACTTTGAGCGACAGCTATCAGTACTTATACAGTTATGCTTAATCACCCTCTTTCTCATTGGTCCTTACATGTCTCGTCTTGATTTAAAGGTAAAGTACATTTTAAATGTACTGAGCATGCTCAGTGAGTAGGGGTCTTCAAACGGGAGGGGGTGTTGTGTGGTTTTCACATTATAATGGGCTAAGTTCATCTAAAGGACACCATTTGGTCAATTTTTTAGTATCTCTGAGCACCTGATCAGGGGAGGATTCCTTGTTCCCAGTTCAAGGTCCTGTTTCTTCCTTTATCTCTTTGTTTCACTGGGTTTTGTTATCTTTTTGCATAATTGAATTGCGCAGCTGTGCCTATTATCCTTCCGCAAAGCCTTGTTTTGTAAAGTATTTCTTTTGTTTTGGTTTTAACCTTTCAGCACCTAGTGGCTGGGCTGGCAGCAGGCTGCCTAGAATTACTCCGTGTGCCTCACAAGGCAAGGGTCTTCAAGCAATCAGTTTTCCAAGAGTAGACGCCACACTAACTTTTCCCCATGTATTAATGAAACACACTACCTAGCAAGAGCTACCAGCCAGTATTTGGCAGTGTCCTGCACAGGGACAGAGTGAGCTGCTGTCATCTGCGGTCCTACTGAGAGCAGAAGGTCTGCCAGGCGACAGGTATATAGGTGGAGAGGATCTTGCCTCATCTGCCTATGGAAGCAGCAGATCTTGCCTCAGAAAAGACAGTATACTGGCAGACGCTCATGAACAGTAATTTAGGGTTGCTCATCCTCCTCAGAAGCTACCAAGCCACTATGCATGATGCCCGGTATCTCCAGGGAAGTGCATATAAGCAGTTACAGCAAAGCAGCTCACGCAGAGGAGCTGTTTTGCCCTCAGTTCACCTATTCATGTCATAATGCTTCGAGACTGATTTCGCTTGCGTGGTTTTCCACAGCTTCAGTGGAAGTGCTGCTTGACATACAGGCCAAGGGGCCAGGACGGTCATTCTGAGGCTGTTCCACCAAAAAATACCTGAGTAAGTGAATCGGTTCAGAGAGTTGACTGCAAACAGTGATTTCACGGTCCGTAACAGCTCTGAGAATTAATATCAAACCTGCAGTTTCTTACTCACGGATATACTCAGCCATATTTAAGATTGCTCTGGATAACACCACTTGCTGAACTAAAAAGGAGTGAGGCTGAACCTGCTATCGGCAATTTCCTTCTTGACTGCATCTCAAAAGCACGGTGGGTATGCACAGGCTGTAGTGCTACCTGTCTATCACTTTTAAGCACAAGGCATCAGAGGCAAGTAACACCTAACTTACTCACAGACACATTTGTTAAAGGGATACTCACCATAAAAGCATATTTTTAAGAGACCTCAACTCTCCACCTTCTATTACTAACAGATTTCCTGTTACATAATATCATACCTACATATTGATGGCATTAGTCTATTTTTCCTACCTTTTCAGATAGCTGGAGAAGAAAAATATATTAGCAGTTCCATTACTGTTTAGAGCCTGTAAGTTTATGAGGGAAAAAACAAACAAACAAACAAAACCCAACAGCTAGATAATTTAATCTAAACCAAACTATTACTGATTTTAGAAATTTTCCAAATTGAAATGCCGTTGTGAATAACTTAATTTAGAAAAAAAAATAGCAATTTGGGGATAAAAGAAGCTGGAAGTGTCCTTCATTAGGGAATATTAAATTATAGTGCCACCCCAGCTCCCCATACAATTGCTGCTTAGATATTCCATACAAAGATCGCCATTGTTTAAGCAAGAAAACAGGCTCCTTACTAATCTCTCACTGAATTCAATCTCTACCAGAATAATAGGTTGCAACCTGTTAGCCTGCTAATAGACAATTAGCAAAGTTAAATAATTTTAAATAAGGTTATTGGACACTAAATTGATAATTAAATAACTCCAGAATAAATGCTACTTTGATATTCCTAAACTGAGGGGGGGAAAAAAAAAAGTCATTCTGCACTGCAAAGTAGAGACTGAATTTGCAGGGCTGAGTAAATAGACAAACAGAATTAAAAGTGTCATTAAACACATTATCTACATTAATTTATCTGTATCAATATTAGGTACAGTAGCTGGCATCAAAATACCTCCGTTCGCCCTGTTCCCCATGTAGGTGGCTTGTGCAGGTTGTTTTCCCTTACTGCTTGCATCATTGTACAAATATCAAAGAGAAAGTGAAGCTGGCAAGAGCACAGAGGTCTTGGAAAGACAGCCTTTCCCAGGCAGCTTCTACAGGTGAGCAAAAAGGTCAGAGTGGGGAACAACGCAAGGACTGAAAGGAAAAATGACAACTGTAAAACAATCCGCTCCCAGTCAGCTGCAGCGAGAAAGTTTTTTCTCGCTCACTTTCTCTGGCCCAGGAAAAGAGGGGAGGGGAGGGAGAGGGGAACTTCACCTGCGAGTCATCTAATTGCGTAAAATTCATTGCATAAATTTCCAAAGGCAACACATTTATATAAAAGTGCAGAAATTAACTGATATGACTTCAGTTTGCAAAGCATCTACTGGGGAAAGGGAGGAGGAGACTAATTCCTACGCATGTGCCTACCACGGTGGACATTCCTGACCGTTTTTTCTTTGTAGTTGAGCGCACTGCAGGGTGTTAAATAATTAAAATATTATTCTTGTATCCCAGATGCCAACAAATGACAATGCGAGATTCACTCTTCAGATTTCTGGATGCTGTGCATGCATTATACAACACACAATTTTCAAACTGATTAAACAAACCGCAAACGAGATCGCGTCACTAAGCAGACCAAACAGCAGGACCACAGGTGTCTAGAGGAGCAACTACTTACCCAACCGGGGCATAACTGCCCCCAGGAACTGTTCATCTTCCTGAAAATGGTTTTCTTGTAGAGATTCGAGCAGTTTCTGTAAGACATCCTGCGGCACTTTGCAGCCTGTGCCTTTCAGTTCAGTGAATCGGGTCAGACGGAAACTCCCGTCCAGTTCATAACTTTCTGGGTTAAATGATTCCCGAACAGACATGGTTCTCTCACACAGACTGCTGGCCTTTCCCACCCCAGAGCAACAGTATCAGTTTCTCTGCTGAGCAGTCTAATTGAAAAAAAAAAATAAAATTGGGAACGTTAGAAATTCCTAGGACCTACAAGACAACAGTTTTTCCACATGGAGCAAGTTAAAAAGAAAGACAACGATGCCATCGTTCGCTTGTCAAGACAGGTGGGCGCATCTCACACAACTCGTTTCTTCAAGACTGCAAAGGAATGACTCCTCCTCTTACCTTCCAACATTTAAAACTGTAACTATGCCAAGCAAATCGGAGAACCAATTTCTTTTCCAGATACGCTGCTTAAGTTTTTCATTAAAAACAGAACGTAACACACTTACCGACCTCATTTAACACAGAGGTAATGAAAGAAATAATAGTTCCCAGAGCACTGGGGCCAATCTGCAGAAGGCAACCCAGGCCCTGATCCTGCAACATGCTCAGCGGAGACATCTGTTTGTACTCAGCTCAGTGCGGGGTCATAATTTTAGCCATTAACATATTAATCTCAAAAATAAGATCCTTTTCAAATAATGGCTCTGCTTCAGTTCTGATGTAAGAAGCTGAAACTCCATAATACACCTGTTCTCCTTGGGGGAACACGCAAGCCTGGTGTTCTGTCAGCACAGGTAACAGAAGAACAAAGAGGCCATATTTAATCAGACTGGTTTACCTACAAAGATGCCAGTTTACCTTTTAGTACGGTCACAGACATAAAAACGTTGAAAAGAAGAGTTTCTTGCCTCTCGAGCCCTTTTTTAGTCAACTAACGATACTGAGAATAAAGAGAATTGTCCATTAAAATGGTAATGTAAAAAGACACTGATGCAACTCATTTAATAAAATTGTTAACAATGCATGTCTAATTTTAGAACGTTTTTCCACTCTGACTCACATACACCACACTCCAAAACCAGTACGAGGCCTAACCGAGACACTGACTTCCAAACAGGAACGGCTGTGATAAAATGTAATTCATCTTTCTCAGAGCAGAAGTTTTCAGGAATTACTAAAAAAGACCTGTCTGTGGTAGTTTCTTAGAAAGCAAGGATCCTGCCTAACAACAAGTAGAACGGAGTTGGCAGAATCGCTGACAAAACCTGATACTGATGGTCACGCCACCACACCGTTAAGCTGAAAAGGAAAAACGTGAATGCAAGTGACTGGCATTCGTGAAGTTCGACAGCACTAAATGTAAGAAAGAAGTAAATCTACAGACTGTGGAACTGATCTCCCCTATGCAGCACTTATTAATGAGCACGTCCATTCCATAAACCTTTTAAGTCTACTAATTTACTGAATATACTTCGCAGGAATTGAAGTTTTAAGCTCCCTGAGAAATTCTGCCATGGAGCCCAGCTCTCCTTCACAGCACTTTCCCTCCTTCTCTGGGAGGCGTGGCACTTATTTAAAACAAATCTTCCAAAGCCAAGGCTCGGGCAGTAATCCAAACTCCAGTTACAAGAACGTGTCTTGGATGAGCAATGAATTCAGCTCATAGCTGTTGTCTTCCAGTGCAAGACACTAAGCACTTGCAATCAAAAAAAAAACAGATAGTGTCTGGAAAACAACCTGTCAACAGAATGGGAGACAAAAGCTCTTCAAGGAACGGGATTTTTTTTTTTCCCCCCCTTTCATTCTTTTTTAACACTTTGTTCTAATTAATTCCAGAAATTTATAAAAAGCAGCTTGCCCCACAAGGGGAACGTTTTCCTCCATCTCCTCAGTAATTGCAATATGCCCAGCACCCCCTGCCTCCTCGCGCAGGGAAGGGCCCAGAGGCTGCAGCTCACCAGCAGCTCCTTCGGGACGGCGAAGACAGCACCGAATTATTCGAACACGAGTACCGAAACGAACACGGAGATTTTATTGAACGGAAAACATCCACGGTGCGAGACGGCTGCAACTTTATAACGCAGACCTGAACAAAGCTGCGTGCAACTCTGTATCTCGCAGACTGCCCAGGGGAGCAACCTTCCCCGCAAGGCCAAGTTCCTGTGAGGGCCCGCGGTCCGTGAAGGCGCGCGACGGGAGCGTTAAGCACC